AAATCTGACGAACTTGAAGGAAAAGAATAAATACTTACTGTTCTGGCAAAGCAAATGGAAAAGGTGGTCAAAAACACATGGACTGTCCTGTTGGGAGGTGAGGGCAAGAGAGCCACCTTTGAATGGGTTGGATGAAGTCTTAGTGCGTAACCTCGTTAGATTTTTAAATGCTGGAGGAACATGCTGCTAAGGCTACGTTCTTCAGTACTTCTTATACCCGTGCTTTTGTTATGTTGCTTTCTTCCCGTGAGCTTCCTGAGATGCTGTTATAGTTCCCGTCTCCACCTACATGGTGCGTTTTAGGTTATTTTCTCCGTGTCTTCCATACTCAGAAAAATAACAAGGAATGTTTTATTATCGCAACTATTAAAACTATGTATACAATTATCGACTTACAGATTATATGCTCTGCACTTAAGGTAAATTATTTGGCTCGACAGACCTCAAAGGGTACAAAAGTAATTTTTTTCAGCTATTCCAATTCACGCGGTAGGGAACAGAACAAAACACACTTCTTGCCTCCGGTGGCCTGGCAAACTAGACAGATTTGTGACCTTCAGCACATCTCTTGGTAATCATTGTACAGGTTTGAGATTTCTGTTAAATCTCAAAGCAGGTAATATTTCTTGATTGTTTTTTTCTTATATTGAATATTAACTTTCTATAGGGGGAATTTTCCTTGTACTTATTGTGACATATGTTACAGATAGTTTATAAAGTCTCAGTTCACAAAAAAAGATGAAACTGTTCTCTCTACTTTTATGGGCTCATTTCAGAAGCCCTCTAATCACTCACTTGACTGCGTATATGCCAATTTAATTGGAAATTAAGTTGTAGCGAATATACCTGCATGCTGAAAGCTTGTTCTGGAATTTTGCAGGTTTCAGCATAAAGAAACATGGATTCAAGGAAAAGCAATTATGAAGCACCAAGCTGCAAGTGCTGTGCTTTCTGTATGTTTTACTGAGCCAGTAGCACTTGCATGAATAATTTATTGAGGACTGAATTAGAAGAGGCTGAGTGAATTAAATGGTGGGCCTCTGATCAGCCTTGCTTTGGTCACTGTCTTTCTCTAACTCTAGCAGGATATGAACTGAGCAACCTGCTTTAACTTCAGAGGTGGCCATCTATTAGTGAGGGGCTGGGCCAGGTGACCTCCAGAGAGCCCTTCCAACGTAAGTTATCTAAGATTCTGTATTTCAGAGTAGCTTGGGACAAAACAAAAAAAAAGCTAAGCTGTATCCAAACACATGCACGGTAAATGTCCTAATTTGTGTATTGCCGTGTGTCAAAATGCCTTGAGAATCCTCTAGCAGAGGATTCAACTTCACGTAAACTGAAGATGTTGAACCTACTGGGTAACGCTGTAGTAAAAAGCAGAAACTGTCCAGGGCACGTCACCCCTTGAAATGCTGCTGTGGAACTCGGAGGTTTTCTAGTTTATTCTTAGTTGGTAACACATTTCACCTTCATGACTTGGCAGGTTCGTTTTGCTGCAAGCACTCACTTTTTCTTAAGATTGTCGTAAGAGTGATCTACTGTCTGTTTTATATTGAATAAAGAGCACCACTGAAAAGGATGCTTTTGCAAATTGCTTTTCCGTGGACCACGTTTCCATGAGCGGAGGAAGCCGCTGCCGGCAGAGGGCAGGTAGTGGTGGCTCGGCCCTGACGCCTGCCTCTGCCCTTGCCCCTGCGTTGCCCCTGCCCTCCGGGTGTGCAGTCCGACTCAGGCACCCGCCTGCAGCAGGGCGCATGGGCCTTGCCAGCTCGCTCGTCGTCCTGAACGCGTGCTCTCTGCTGTGCTGGAGCCGAGGTCGGCAAGCTGCTGGTGACAGCAGCGTGAATCTTCTCAAGCAGAGGTAGGATTTTTTAACCTAGATGTGCATAGGCTGTTGCTGTCAGAACCGCAGGTTTTGAGGACCACTGTGTGTGACTGCTGGTGTGCTGCATTGTGCAGTCCCCCTAATTGAACATCCTTCTTTCTTTGGCATCTACATTGAAATTTTGTGTCACTTACAGAAATGACTCACTTCATATGTGCTTGTTAAATTGAGCAAAATTGTGGCACGTTTTGTTTGAGACGGTGAGAGCAGCTCCCCAGCCATAGGGACCAAGGATATGGTCAACTGCCAGAATTTCTTGCAGTCCAGGATTGCGCCCTTACCGTAACTTTCAGTCAAGAACAACGTAAGTAGGTAACACTGTTTGTTTTCATATGGCTGTGTAGATCATACGCAGACCGTTTGCACTCTTTTGTGGCCCTCAGTTTGGGAACCGCTAATTTTAAGCATGTCAGTAGCTCACCCCGATACCGTTTATTTTTATTCTTTCAGTGCGACTTGCTAATAATGCATGTTGAGGTCCACGGGTACCAAGCTGCCTGCAGATCACCTCTGCTTCACATCCCGAAGTAAACTCTGAGTGGCTGTCTTTCGGGACGCTGTAGATGATCCCTCTGTAGCTATGTGCCAGTGGTTTGACAAAGGGCTGGCTTAGTTGGGCTGCTGAGGCAGCAGAGTTTGAGTTAGACTCGGAGCTAAGGACATGTGGGAGGGGGGTGCTCTCCTGACACGCAGCGTGCTCTGTCGGTTCTGGGTGAGCGAAAGAAAATGAAGGTTTATCCACAGTAGCAGAAGGAAATGTATAGAGCACAGTGTGGCTGAAGCATGCATTTTTTGGCAAAGCTACAGCTCATTATTCTCCCATCCAGACCAAAAGCCTTAAATAGCATTTGTCTCCATTTCTCTATTTAACTTTAAGAAGGAAATGTTTCTTTACAGAGCAAAAAAAAGTAGCTTCTTGAGTACAAATACATTTTTAGAGTGCCTTGTTTGGAGCCAAAAGTCAAGAATTTGACAGCAGCTGATAAATCTTTTTAAAACCTCCCCATACATTTCACATGTCTCCTTGAAACTTAGAGTTTCAGTGGGTCTAGTCTGGCTTTGGTTTTGATGCTGTAAGTGACGATAACGAAATGGCCTAATGTTGCTGTGGCACCCCAGTTCCCGCCGTTCGGTCTCGTTGCCAGGCTCTGTTCCCTCTGCCATTTTGTGTAGAGAAGATATTTTAGGGGTTGTTGCAGGGTTCGAGGTTCCTGGCTGAACATGCGGCATTTCTCCCGAGAGCCTGAGACTGCACGATTTGTGAGGGCTGGGAATTTGCAGCCCAGGCGGTAGGAGAGGCCCTGGTTGCAGAGAGGCCCTCCGTCTGCCTGAGCATGCCAAGCTGTCGACAAGCTTTCCCGAAAAACCTGGGCAGCCGAGTCTGGGGCGCTGTAGTCTGCAGGTCCCTGAGATTTGAGCCTGTTAGTCTGGGGTCATACAGCCAGTCGATATGTTGTACATAGGGAACTTTGGCAACGTACACAGTTAGTCTGTTTGTTTTGGACTCATTAAAGTAGCTATCACGTATTCCAGTGAGGTGTGAAAATGCTTCAGCAATGAAAGCATCTCCAGTGCCTATTAATAGCTTCCAGATGAACTTTTTGGGAGGATACTGCTTCAGAGTTAGGAGAAGGGGAAGTTAGAAGAAGTTTGTTTGGGTCTCCACTTGTTAAACCTAGTTCTGAGTCTGAAGGAGGCAGCTTCACTTCTCCACTGAATTCCCTTTTCTCTGTGGGAGCTGAAGAGTGGAGGGTGCTCATTTATTGTTTAAGTAATAGGGAAAATGATGGGAAGGATGATTCTTCCCTTCTCCCCTGGTGATTAGTCACTCATTCTCTTTAAAAGGTAAGTTGAGAAAGGTAATTGCTCAGTGTTCCTTAAAGACCTGGCCCACACCCCCCTGAGGTCGAGAGAAATCTTTGGTTGCAAGAAGCTCTGGAATAGTCTGTAAGGATGTCGACTTGCTGACAGCTGATTTTGGAAAGCCTCCTGTGTCAATCATCCCGGTCTGGAGGTGGCAACCACCCTGCCCAGCCCCTGCAGCTGTCAATGAGCAGGGGAGGTTGGTCTGGCTCCCCGTGAGGGTGAGGGCGAGGGTGCGGGTGCCGAATCGGGCCGCTCTGCTGAGCGAAAGGGTGCCTTTTTGCCTTCTGCATCCCCCCCTCGTTCCTCCCAGAACTGATCTAGGTACGCCGCCTTTCTATTTCCCTCAAATACTTGCTGAGTTTTCAAATGATGATGGTGACCGAAGGTGATGGGTCACAGGGAGAAGAAGCTAAGCTGAAGCATCTGACATATTCATAGTGATTTGCTTTCTAGCACAGTGTTATGAGTTTAGTAACTATCTTCTACTTAAATTACTGATTTTTATGTTAATGCATAATTAGTCTGAGTTCTCTCCTGTTGCCTGAAATGATTCAGCTTATGAATTTCAGCTTTTTAATCGATGTAAAATGGTATCGATACAAATGAAATGAAAAATGCTTGTAACCAAGTATTAGTACTGCAGTCATTGCTATGGATATGTAGGGAAGTATAATCACGTGATTTATTCTGGACTTGAGTTGAATTATAAAAGTTTGTAGAAAATGTGTACTGTGTGGATATTATTATTTTTACAACCTTTTAGCTTATTTTTTTCAGGATTAGTACTATTCAGGCAACTTTAGTGAGTTTCCTTCAAGGAATTTTGGTGGAAATGTATAATAGTTTATTGATTTAAGACAGTTTGAAAGAAAAGAAATACTTGTAAAAATGGATCGTTAACATAATGAAATTTAGTCTTGCTTCTCATTTTCATGAACAAAATGGCCATTACAGAGTGAAGCATGGTTCTGTGATAATGAATATATTTTTATGAATGCATGTACCAGTGTTCGCAGAGGGTAGGACTGTTTTCTGTAGTAATATTTTAAGTGCTTGAATGCATAAGGTAGCACATTATTAAGAAGCATTCTTTTGTACCATGTAACCTTCATGTTTTTCTTATCAGCACTGAAAACTTAAATAGTAGAAAAATAAGCTGTATTAAAAATAGTCATTTTTGTCTCATGACCTATCCCATTGATGTGGCAGCAGAATCTCATCTGTCCTCCCCACTTCTTGTCTCTTCCAGATGTGAATGAATGTGAAGCTGGAAACGGCGGCTGTGAATCCCAGTGCTGCAATACTATTGGAAGCTTCTACTGCAAGTGCCCGGATGGGCTGAAGCTGGGGGAAGACGGGAAGGCATGCACAGGTAGGGCCCCCAGGGAGCCGAGCTTGCGTAAACTTGCCCCTGCATAAGCTGCCCAACAGGTGTGCGCGATCCCAATGGAAAGCATCATCTCTTGTAGTGCCTTTCCTGGAATTATCAAGCCTTCTCTGAAAAGCAGCTGAGGTTCTCCTGTGTCCTCAGTACTCTCTTGGGAAGGCTATTTTAGAATCTGAAGGTAAATGTTTATGAAGCTTCCTCTAACTTCCAGTCTGAATGTATTAATATTTACTTATATCCCTTTTGCTCTTGTGCCAGCATTGGCCTTCAATTTGTCCTGTCCTTTCTCTTGGTTGGTGTTTCAGCTGTCCTGTTGTTTTATAGGCAGCAGTCATGTCCTTTCTCAGCTTTGGAGTCATTTACAAAACAGGGTCATCCTTCTGCTTATAACTTTGATTTATCTGCACCTCTTACAGCTTCAAGTCAACTTTCTTGAATGTACTCGACTGCTACTGCACACAGTATTCCAGATAAACTAATATTGCAATGGCGTAAATGTGCCTCTATTTCAATAACAAGGGCAAGCTTATACAGAAGCCAAGGGTGGAAAAGTATGGGTCGGTGGGGTGAGAAAGGTGAGGAGTATTGGAGTTACTGTGAACAAGGGTGTATAGGATGTGGGAAGAATGCTATTAAATGGGCAAAAGAGAAAAGACATAGTGTACCTTTTCATGTGAAGCCATGTTTTGAGTACACCAGGGACTTCATTTCATCCTCCTGGAAGAAGTTCCATGCTCTAAGAGAATTCTTCTCTTCTTGTAAATTCAGGGTTCCAATCCAAAACACAGAGCAAACAGATCTTCCATAGACCCTAGGTTTCAGTTTGACTGTGTATTTAATTAAATTGCAGGTTTTATTCCTTTGTTTTGCCCATCACCTTTTTGCAAGTTTCTTCCGGTTACCAGCAGGCAGCAATGGTGCTTTAAATTTCAATCTAATTTCCAAGGGGATGAAAAGCCATTAGCACAAAGAAGCCGTCTGCTCTTTCCTTCTCTCTCTCTTTCCCTTTCTCCTCTCTTACTCTCTCTTTCTTTTCTCTCTGTCAGACAAGGTGTTGTTATCTCTCTCTTAATCAAGTTTCCTTTTCTGAAGTGGAATCAGGGAATATTCTCCCTGCAGGAATGTAACTGTTCTGCAGAGCCTGTTCCCGGCTCTATCTGTTTCTGTGCAAAGGAGGACTGTGTTCCTGGTTTCAGAGTCTGTAAGTTTCCTTAACAGTGGAATAGAAATGTGAGCACAGAACTTAGTATTTCAATAAGTTCTGGTGTATTAGCTTGCATAGAAATTCTAGTTGTAACGTCCTCAGCAGCTGCAGACGTACGCACCACCTTGAGCCTGCTTTCTGCATATATTTGCTTTTTTTTCTTGATGTTTACTTAAAAATTATCTTTCAGCAGGGTGTTAATCTATTAAGACCTGTTGGCTGATACCCATTTTACAACCCCTTACGGAGATTTCCTCACCCTCTGTCATTTTCAAATGATCATGTCATAGTGACTATGTGTAGAATGCCATTTTAATGCTTCTCAGAGCGTAGCCACCAAATCATGTAGCCTTCTGCTGTTCATCATCAATTTAATCTCTTCTAAAATTATCCCTGAGCAATGCAATATATCTCTATACATTCACGCACATGTTGTTTGAGTTACCCTTGGAATGAATTGTTTGCTGTTCTAAATGGAAATGGTTTAAGACTGCAATAAAAAGTGTTGCGGTGTTCCCACTCAGATGAGAAGAAATGTTCTTTTTAATGATAAATTTAATGGGTTATTTTGCTAATGTTTCTTAGTGGAGCTCTGTTTGGCCTGCCTCAGACTTCTGCATTGTTGCTTTCTTGCCCTTAGCTGAGGGACGCTCTATTACTTTATCAGAGTCTTAGGCATGACCGCTAAATTTCTAATTATACATTTATGTTTATCTGCAGAGAACACGTTTTACAGAGCAGTCATGACCAGATATCTAAAGGAGAGACTTTCAGCTTTTCCCTCTCCTCTCAGATGTTGTGCACACTTTTGATATTGTTTAGTCATCTAGAATAAATGCTGCCATTCTGTTGCATACTTAGATGTATAAATGATATCAGTAATAGAGGAAAAGACAGACCTGAATAAAAAATGAAGTTTTCAGGTTGAGAATCTGGCCCTGCTGAAGTTGATGGTTGCTTCAAAAGAGTTGGGATTTCACCTTAGGAGTCTATATCATCACATAGTTCCGTTCCCTGTCTTCCACTTTTAAGTCTGCTGTTTCCAAACAGCAGTAAAAGAGAAGACACAATTTTGTGTTTGCAACATGAAAATAGTGTATGTGATTGGTATAGCAGAGTACCTAGAGCAGGACTCGTGTCATATGGACTTTTCAGCTCCTACAGCTTGAATTTCTATTGTTATGCACTTACTTAGTAGGTTTCCCATCCTGTTCTCCCTGGAAACTATCTTCTGTACAAGTGCTGCATGCTTGAGCTGGCTGGAGCTCGGAGTCAGAAAAATGCAAAAGGTTATTTGCTTATCAGAGCCAAGAACAATATATATTTTTTAGAATATATTGCAGGTCTAGGATTCACTGAAAAAATTACAGAAAGACACATTACTAGGTTCCTGCAGAATAGAAATTTGAGGATTTCATATACTCTAGTGAGACATTAAAATTCCCAATACAGTGTACTCTCTTTGTTTAGTATTATCATGCTTTTGTAGTAGAGTTTTCAGATATTTTCTGCACCAGTTTGCTTAGCAGGACAAGTCCAAAAG